CACCGGAATTATTCTCGTGACAGCAACAGACATTGCATAGAGATATGCACCCTTTCACATTTTTATCAATCATATTGCATAAATACAAAGCGTTTACTCTAAAAGCGTATACTGACAGGCGTTTTAAAGATCAGTACCCAAATCATGGCAAATGTTCACAATGCAATGCGCTTCATCAGGTCGAGTTTGGACGACATAGTGCATACAGTCTGCGTTATGAATGACAAATAGCCTACCACAGTACAAACCGATTCCAGTCCTATGCTTTGGCATTTGTCTATTGCCGTCCACGAAACAACCCCACCCCACCCCCTGCAAAAAAAACTCTGTACAAGGTTGGTCATAAGTGGCCGTGGGGCGACCTCGTAGAGGTTTGCTTGCTCCATGGAGAATCTAAAACCCGCCAGACATGGTGAAGAGCTCCGGGAATCCAGCTTGTTCGCAGTACCAGAGAAAGCCGCGCTGGCTCAACGTTCTCGGGACAGGCGAGCGCGCAGCTTGTCGTGGCTGTGTACTTGGCCGTAAAATGGATTTGAGTGTAAAAGGCTGAAACACCACACGAGCTGTCCTGTAGAAATGACACTTACACCCACAGCGTGTGAGTTTCACATCTGTCAAGCACTTTTCTGAGTGCACTTATATACGCTTTGGAGTTTGGAGGGCGGGTGTGCTCTGGGTCCTAATGCTTCGCTGCGTGATCTTTGCGCAAGAGCTCAGTGCACGCACTGATATCAACCTGGTCCTTTACAAATATCATTATTATTGAGTTATAAGTGAAACAGTATGCGATCATTTCATAAAATTAATCAATTTATCATAATATAATATTTCTTTCATAAATAACAGTAATAACGTTTTTATCATATACATGCATTTTATTTAACACTGCAGGCGAATTGTTCGTTAGGTTATGATATGTATTGTAGCAGCCTTTGGAGGTGGGAACTGAAGTGCATGTTTGAAATACTCAATGAATGTGGGGAAAAGAATCGTAAAGAGAGGTATGTGAGCGCAGACTAAACGGACATAGGACCAATTACAATGGCAAAACGGTTACGGACATTATATGTTACGGATGTTATATGAATGAAATACAAATTGCTGAAGTAGAAAAATCTTTCTATAACTATTATACAATTTTGTTTTGTGGCATAGAAGAGAGAAAGAACGAAAGGCTGAACAAAGAAGAAAACAGTATTGCTGTTGCCTTAAAACTCAGTCGCCTGCATTAAAATGCACCATGGTGCCTTATATGCCATATGATGAAATTGTTTTGATAAATGAATAAGGTAAGTCAAGTGATTCGGCTCCACATTAAATCTCATAAAACAAGAAAGAAAACGCCCGCCACAAGTGTTTTTTGTGCATCCAATGAAGATTTATTTTATCTTTGTGTATTTTATTTGGTGCGTTTTTTCGTTTCTTTTCCTCTGGTCGCTGCTACAAAATTGTGCCATGCATTATTTTCTAAACGCTTGAGAAAATCTTTGCGCACAACAACGAATACGACTACTCTGCCCAAACACACAGTGCAGCACACGTCTCACTTAGTGCGAGAGAAGCTGGAAAGCACACAGGAGTCTTGAGAATTGCATGCGCTAAAGCTGGAGCGCGCGTAAAGGCGCTAATCAGTGCGTGCGCAGTCTAGGAGCTCCCTCTATTGTCACAGCGAGAGCCTGGCACGTACCACAACTGAAAGAATGAGACGAGGCCATAAGAAATGTAGCTTGCAACAGACTAATTATGCATTACGTTTTTCTGTTTTAGTCTACCCTTCTTTACCATATCAGAATTAGAAATTACTATATGGAGCCATGTAGTAGCCTAACAGGTTTTGTTACATGTATGTCCTGCATACCAAAAGAAAGTAATCCTCTTATTAGGTCCAAAATGTCCAGTCATTTCTAAATAATATAACATGAAAGTTTGTGAGATGAAAAAGAAATTAAATCAAATGGCAGTGAAGGATTTTGGAGGGCAGGATAATTTAGGGTAATTTATGACGTGGGGAAAAGAATCGTAAAGAGAGGTATGTGAGCGCAGACTAAACGGACATAGGACCAATTACAATGGCAAAACGGTTACGGACATTATATGTTACGGATGTTATATGAATGAAATACAAATTGCTGAAGTAGAAAAATCTTTCTATAACTATTATACAATTTTGTTTTGTGGCATAGAAGAGAGAAAGAACGAAAGGCTGAACAAAGAAGAAAACAGTATTGCTGTTGCCTTAAAACTCAGTCGCCTGCATTAAAATGCACCATGGTGCCTTATATGCCATATGATGAAATTGTTTTGATAAATGAATAAGGTAAGTCAAGTGATTCGGCTCCACATTAAATCTCATAAAACAAGAAAGAAAACGCCCGCCACAAGTGTTTTTTGTGCATCCAATGAAGATTTATTTTATCTTTGTGTATTTTATTTGGTGCGTTTTTTCGTTTCTTTTCCTCTGGTCGCTGCTACAAAATTGTGCCATGCATTATTTTCTAAACGCTTGAGAAAATCTTTGCGCACAACAACGAATACGACTACTCTGCCAAAACACACAGTGCAGCACACGTCTCACTTAGTGCGAGAGAAGCTGGAAAGCACACAGGAGTCTTGAGAATTGCATGCGCTAAAGCTGGAGCGCGCGTAAAGGCGCTAATCAGTGCGTGCGCAGTCTAGGAGCTCCCTCTATTGTCACAGCGAGAGCCTGGCACGTACCACAACTGAAAGAATGAGACGAGGCCATAAGAAATGTAGCTTGCAACAGACTAATTATGCATTACGTTTTTCTGTTTTAGTCTACCCTTCTTTACCATATCAGAATTAGAAATTACTATATGGAGCCATGTAGTAGCCTAACAGGTTATGTTACATGTATGTCCTGCATACCAAAAGAAAGTAATCCTCTTATTAGGTCCAAAATGTCCAGTCATTTCTAAATAATATAACATGAAAGTTTGTGAGATGAAAAAGAAATTAAATCAAATGGCAGTGAAGGATTTTGGAGGGCAGGATAATTTAGGGTAATTTATGACTTTAGGCAATGCGAGACACACAAACTCATTTGTGCACATTTTGTGCTCTATTATAAGCAAGTCGTTAACATACCCATATTTTATTTGGCTTGATATGTTTCATTCGTTGGTGTTAGACTGACAATCACAATAAATTCCTAGAAGTCTAAAGTGCTAGAATTGTCTCAGACTAGACGTCCTATGGCTAAAAGTGCAAAACGTAATTGTTAACAGAGTATTAGATGTATTAGTGAAAAATTTATTTAGCTCGCGCTTCTATGAATCTTAATAATTTACTGTTTGCACTTATGTAACCACATGTAACACGTTTTAAAACTTGCCATGTCCGTAACATAAAATGAGAGGTATATACTGTTACCTTGTTTAGTATTCTTGACTGATCTCATGTTTTATCGCATGAAAACGCCCCTGACCGATAAATGCAGCCTGATTGGTTTAGTGACATGTCAATCAAACAGTGCATTTCGTCATCTCTCCCAACCCTCTGATTTGATTGGTTGCGAGAGCAGATTTCCCTACATGGTCACAAGATTTCGCAATACTCCCAACAAGCGCCGCTTTACCAAACAATAATACCTCAACCTGTGCTTGTTTTTTTTCCGTGAACAAAGAGGATATTATTTTTATCAACTTATAAGCCTCGAAGGTTTTCAAGGTAAGGTTGTCTGGGTATATTGTAAGATAGCTATTCAAACTCGGAATTGTTTTTATCAATGAAACGATGGCTTGCCGCTCACTCGATTGCAAAATACCTTAAACTCCCGGATCTGAGGCCAGCGAGAGCTTCATAACCCACGATTAAACATGATCGCGATCGACTCGTTCTTGATTCACGCAACTTGTATGTAGAAAGCTGCCTGTATGCGCTCATCGTTAGACGCCTGACGCCATGAGGCCATAAGAAATGTAGCTTGCAACAGACTAATTATGCATTACGTTTTTCTGTTTTAGTCTACCCTTCTTTACCATATCAGAATTAGAAATTACTATATGGAGCCATGTAGTAGCCTAACAGGTTTTGTTACATGTATGTCCTGCATACCAAAAGAAAGTAATCTTCTTATTAGGTCCAAAATGTCCAGTCATTTCTAAATAATATAACATGAAAGTTTGTGAGATGAAAAATAAATTAAATCAAATGGCAGTGAAGGATTTTGGAGGGCAGGATAATTTAGGGTAATTTATGACTTTAGGCAATGCGAGACACACAAACTCATTTGTGCACATTTTGTGCTCTATTATAAGCAAGTCGTTAACATAACCATATTTTATTTGGCTTGATATGTTTCATTCGTTGGTGTTAGACTGACAATCACAATAAATTCCTAGAAGTCTAAAGTGCTAGAATTGTCTCAGACTAGACGTCCTATGGCTAAAAGTGCAAAACGTAATTGTTAACAGAGTATTAGATGTATTAGTGAAAATTTTATTTAGCTCGCGCTTCTATGAATCTTAATAATTTACTGTTTGCACTTATGTAACCACATGTAACACGTTTTAAAACTTGCCATGTCCGTAACATAAAATGAGAGGTATATACTGTTACCTTGTTTAGTATTCTTGACTGATCTCATGTTTTATCGCATGAAAACGCCCCTGACCGATAAATGCAGCCTGATTGGTTTAGTGACATGTCAATCAAACAGTGCATTTCGTCATCTCTCCCAACCCTCTGATTTGATTGGTTGCGAGAGCAGATTTCCCTACATGGTCACAAGATTTCGCAATACTCCTAACAAGCGCCGCTTTACCAAACAATAATACCTCAACCTGTGCTTGTTTTTTTTTCCGTGAACAAAGAGGATATTATTTTTATTAACTTATAAGCCTCGAAGGTTTTCAAGGTAAGGTTGTCTGGGTATATTGTAAGATAGCTATTCAAACTCGGAATTGTTTTTATCAATGAAACGATGGCTTGCCGCTCACTCGATTGCAAAATACCTTCAACTCCCGGATCTGAGGCCAGCGAGAGCTTCATAACCCACGATTAAACATGATCGCGATCGACTCGTTCTTGATTCACGCAACTTGTATGTAGAAAGCTGCCTGTATGCGCTCATCGTTAGACGCCTGACGCCATGGTTAGGAATGTGGCAGCTAATTAGCCAACCTGCTAACGTTAACTTGCAGTGGATCCCGCTGGCTACGGACGCACGTAAACCTAAAGAAAACTTCTGTCGGCATTATGAGTGTTTTTACATGGTTACGCGATAGATTACAATACTGATTTACCAGATCTGCTGCCATTTTGAATGTAGTTGTTGAAAGTCAGCGGTATTCCCCTTCATTCCCACAGTTCCGTGTGTGATGTAACCAGCCTGATATGATTCAAAATAACATGCAAAACACTGGCCGGCTTTATTATGATCACTGATAAAATTTAAATTGCTTTACTATTCTGCTGTTTGTTTAAAATGTTAATTTAGCTCGACATAGTTCTGAATGACTACGGAGTTTCCCTTCTCCCGTGTAGAAAGGAGCGGGTGGGAGCGCGAGCGATGATGCAACTGCGGGCAACACTTGAGCTCGCGCTCACAGGAGAGAGAGAATTTGCCACATATGCACATTGACATGGCAGCACGGTCGGATTACAACAACATAATGCTAACGGATGAGCACAAGCGGTTGACCCGACTTTTAGGTGTTGCAGCATTTTGCTGAAATAATGCGTTTCTGCGCGGTGCATCTGTTCAGGTGGGAATTGTGTGGCATCAAATTGTACAAAATGTGATGGAGTATGATGCTGATGTGTGCAGAGTACTTTGTCTAACTTCTTTCTCTCTATCCTGTCTGGTTTTTAGGCACACGGCTACATTTTGGGGTATTCAGCTTCTCACAACACCACCTAACACCAAGTCCAGCTCTGCGAAGCCCGACAACTTAGGTCGGAGAGGGAGAGAGAAAGACAGTGGAAGTGGATCCAAATGAGCAAGCAGTTGCAACAGAAGATATCCAACACAGATCAGAACGGCGTCAGTGTTATACAGAATCAGCCACATAATAGTGCACTGAACCCGGCAGGAGCTGCAGGACTACAGCAGGTACACACATCAACAAACCTACTTACCCATGCGTTTATGACTTTTAATATTCATGACTCTGTAAAAGCATCGCACTGCAAAAGCATCGCACTGCCATTTTGCAGTGCTTAAACCATGGTGGTATGTATTCATAAAGTGCATCCAGTCATCCACTTTCTCATAGTCTTAAAGAATTTATAGATAAGATTTATAGAAGATTTGCAATCTAATTGTCAAAACTGCAGATTTGTTGTGTATTAGGTATGTTGTTGCTTGTCTTTACTATGCATGACATTATTTTAATTCTGACAGGTTCCTCAATTAGTCCCAGTGAGTCCCGGAGGTGGGGGTAAGGCCACACCACCCAGCAAGATGAAGAAGTCCATGATGGATAAAAACAGCGACGAGTACCGCCAACGGAGAGAACGCAACAACCTGGCCGTAAAGAAGAGCCGCATGCGCAGCAAGCAGAAGGCACAGGACACCCAACAGCGTGTCAATGAGCTGAAGGAGGAAAATGAGAGACTGGAGGCCAAAATCAAATTGCTTAGCAAAGAACTGAGTGTGCTCAAAGACCTGTTTCTAGAGCATGCTCACAACCTCGCAGACAATGTGCAGCCCCCTGCTTCTGGTGGAGACCCCGGAGACCTCTGCAACAACAACAACAACAACAACAGCGGCAGTAACAGTAGCCAGTGAGGGCCTGATGTTGGTTTACAGTGTGCTATGCTGTGGGCTGTGTGGGGGCTCTCTTGGCAAATCATTTTGCTTAATCGTATTATGCTTTTTTCCCCCCTCCTGTTCCCAATGTGTACTGTCTGCAGTGTTTAACTTGTGCGTCTTCAGTTTGTACACTCAAATTTGGTTTATTTTTCACTCACATCTCATGCAGAATGCTATGATCGTCATAGCAACCGCAGAAAGTCCAACCCACGCTCTGATTTGATGTGCTGGAGATAACTTTAATAACCGCTTTCCGTGTGTAAAGCAGCATGTTTCAGTGTCTTGAAACTTTGCATTGTCTTAGAGGACTATGAAAACTTCTCAATAGACAATTTTGAAATCTGGCCAAAACAGGTCACAAAGCTTTAACAGTAAATATAATAATAGTAAATGTGTTCCATCACTCAACTCTAATGTCTAAAGAAAAGATTCAGAAATTCAATTTTGTATTTCTGCTTTTTTGCCTGTCAGCTTGGTTTGATTCAAAACGTATTTGTTGACCATGTCTTATAATAGCAAATACACTGTTGTATCTATGGTAACAGACTCAAGACAGACTAAATGTATTGCATCAGACTCCAGACAGTGTCTGCATTACCAGTAGTCCTTAAATTCCTACAGTTAAGCCTTCAATTTTGACAAGCTTAATGTATAACAGCTACTCCCCTGTATTTGTAAATACTGTTGAGATAAGATTCAGAATGACTGGTACTGGTGCTGAACATTGAAAGTCATCAGTCACCTGACATGCCCTAAACCTATTAATTTATTAAATGATGTACATTTTGAGTTATACTGAAAAATACCTTATCCAAAGAAGCTCTTTTCCTGACTACATCAAATTTCGGCCATTGTGTTTCTCTGACCAGTCTCAGAGCAGTATGTGTGAATTTACATCTGCAGCAGCAGGTGTTGCTTAACGTTATTGGAGCAGCCACATGACCTTTGCCCTCATTGAGTCTCTATTAATTTATTAAATGATGTACATTTTGAGTTATATTGAAAAATACCTTATCCAAAGAAGCTCTTTTCCTGACTACATCAAATTTCGGCCATTGTGTTTCTCTGACCAGTCTCAGAGCAGTATGTGTGAATTTACATCTGCAGCAGCAGGTGTTACTTAACGTTATTGGAGCAGCCACATGACCTTTGCCCTCATTGAGTCTCAGAACTGTGTGTTCTTGGAGTCGCTGTAGATAGACTTTTGTACCTCAGGCTATATTTCATAGCCTCACCAGACAGCCTTTAAGATCTATATTCCTGTTTAGGAGGAAATAAAAATGGGGAGGATAAGAAAAGACAAGGCAATCTTGTAAGATGGCCGAAGCATCTTTAATTCTACTGTATATTTTCATTTTCTATATCTGAAGTTTTAAACATGTAAAACAAGCATGAAAGGCAATGCATGATTAGCACTATTTAAACAACTAATTCAAAGTTATGCTCTATAGAGGAACAGCGAATCTGCGACTGAGTACTTTTTGTATTGTTGTATCAGGCTGGGCTAAAATAAAGCTATTGTGTAAAAGTTCTTAAAAATGAAACTAAAGTCAATATTTGATTGGCATATTTTGCTTAAGTATGAGGGTTGCTGGGCAACTTGCTTTTTTACATAATGTATACTGGGTTTTGTGCATTGTAAATTAAAATTTTAATACAAATACATTGCTTGTGTTTGTACTAACTGTGAAGAGGGGCACAACCTAGACATTAATTTACCAAGTCAGCTGAGGTGCCTGCACTAAATCCTGCTGCAGTAAGTAGAACTACACATAATTCTAGGTAAGCTTTGTTCTAACCAAAGCTAACGGCCTCTCTCAACCAGAACTCAAGTAAAATTTCAGAACTGCCACTATAGGTTTGGGCAAAAATCACATTCCGTCTGAAGTCCTCATTACAAATAAACCATTTTATAACCGTAAATATAGAATCACAAAATCTTAACATTTAAAATGAAAGCTACTTCTCTGTTAGAGAGTATTTTATATCCCTGTTAACTGTGCTTAAATCACTGTATATTTATGGTCATGGCAAAACTCTTCTTGCAAAACCAGTCCACAACAGAAATTCACAAATTCCTGACTTAATTCTTAAAGGGACAGTTCACCCAAAAATGAAAATTACCCCATGATTTACTCACCCTCAAGATCATCCTAGGTGTATATGACATTCTTCTTTCAGACGAATACAATGAGAGTTATATTAAATAATGTTCAGGCTAATCCATGCTTTATAATGGGAGTGGATGGAAATTGCGCCCATCCATTATAAATGAAGTCCACATGGCTCCAGGGGGTTAATAAAGGCCTTCTGAAGCAAAGCAATGCGTTTGTGTAAGAAAAATATTCATATTTGCAACTTTATAAAAACGTAATCTCTAGCTTCCGCTAACTGTCGTAGGTGTGTTCATGAGAGAGTGGCATCCAGCGGATGACGTAGCACGTAGGGGTAGCATAAGCTCAGGCGAGAATATGGAAGTCTCGCGAGAAAAACCATTTTATAACCGTAAATATAGAATCACAAAATCTTAACATTTAAAATGAAAGCTACTTCTCTGTTAGAGAGTATTTTATATCCCTGTTAACTGTGCTTAAATCACTGTATATTTATGGTCATGGCAAAACTCTTCTTGCAAAACCAGTCCACAACAGAAATTCACAAATTCCTGACTTAATTCTTAAAGGGACAGTTCACCCAAAAATGAAAATTACCCCATGATTTACTCACCCTCAAGATCATCCTAGGTGTATATGACATTCTTCTTTCAGACGAATACAATGAGAGTTATATTAAATAATGTTCAGGCTAATCCATGCTTTATAATGGGAGTGGATGGAAATTGCGCCCATCCATTATAAATGAAGTCCACATGGCTCCAGGGGGTTAATAAAGGCCTTCTGAAGCAAAGCGATGCGTTTGTGTAAGAAAAATATTCATATTTGCAACTTTATAAAAAACGTAATCTCTAGCTTCCGCTAACTGTCGTAGGTGTGTTCATGAGAGAGTGGCATCCAGCGGATGACGTAGCACGTAGGCGTAGCATAAGCTCAGGTGAGAATATGCAAGTCTCGCGAGAAACAAGTTTTGTTTACAGCAAAGGAAAATCAGTGTCCTCTTGGCTTATATCTAAATCCTCCAACATATTCCTTTACAAATCCTCCTTTTGTACTTCTAATTTGTGAAAGGCGTTTTGTTTTGCTCTCTCCTCTGTGCTTCTACATTCGTCACTTCCGGGTTCGTCACCGCGTTTGCCTACGTGCTACGTCTTTCGCTGGACGCCACTCTCTCGTTGAACGTGCGTACGACACTTAGCGGAAGCTACAGATTAAGGTTTATAAAGTTGTAAATGTAGCAAATTAACCCAAAAGGGAAATGTATATAAATAATTACAATTAATTATGATTAATTACAATTATTTATATGAGCTGCCAGTAGTAACTGAGAGGTCCTTCATAGCATGCATCAACTAATCTCTTTTTCCAGCGAACATTTAGTGTAATTTCATATCAACTCTAAGAAAGGATATTTTCGTGGCCACAGAAAACAACCTTCTTACAGTAGCCTAATAATGCATTAGAGCATGTAGCAAGGATCAAAATCGTAAAGGGACATTAATTTGCAAGGCAGAATCAGAAACTCATGTAATTTGTGCATAAGAGTTTTATTAACTAAACACTAACACAAACTAGTCTAACAAACAAACAATCACTCATGGTAAAGGGCATATGAGACTTGATGGATGAAACCATCAGGAAAACCAGAGAATGAAGCTATGAAAAGAGTCAGTTAACCATCTGAGTGAAACCATCAGCGCCGTTTTAGAACGGGGTCTACAGCTTATACTAAACCTCTGTTTCGTTTAGTTAAATGTACGATACCTGCATCACCTTGGCCTTGAACAAGTGTACGGATGCAGTCTCGGATAAAAGTCTTGATGGTTTGGAGGTTCGGTGGTGTAGGAGTCATGATCACCTTCTTTCGGGTTTGAAGAGTGATGAACTCCAAAGATGTTCTGACTCGATGGTGATTGAGAGTTTCTTCCCAGTGGAAAGTGAAAAAGAGCTAAGAGAGACATCAGCTGAGATCCTAAGATCTTTGGTGAATGTAAAGTCAAGGCCAAGGCCTGGTGCAGACTTGAGAGTTGCAGAAGTGTTCTAGCTCACATCCTCATCTTCTCAGAATCTAACAGAACCGCCGACTGCGGGTCACTAATGTGAGGCGATATCTTCTATCGAGGTCACTCCTCTGGGATTTGAGTGAGCCAATGAGGAATGGTAACTTTGGAGGGAAATTTTACGACTCTTTGTCTCAGAGCATGGTATTTTGCATATGTAATTCGATTTGGGTGTTGATGCAAAAACTACTAAAGATTCTTAGAACACTAGTATATTGCCTATGTACCAACATATAATATACACTCTCGTTTAGATCATCAGAAGACGAATTCATAGATACTAAACATGGTAGGATTACATATAGGTAAGATTACATGAACGAGGGGTTCTATCATAAGCCTGCATAAAACAATATACAATACAAAAAACAATATACAAGAACAGTAACAACATACCTGAAGGATATGTGTTTTCATTCAAAGAAAGGTTTTCCTATGAATTAATTAGAGAAGAGTCCATTTTTATGGGCATTATGTTTTTCCTATGATTGAAAGATGGTGAGAGGGAGAACTCTCAACATGCCATTAAGTCGTAAAATGTATCTGATCTGGCTGAGGTGTCCTGGTTGCCATGGTAACCAGAGGCCTGGGGTCGTTCCCAGACATGTTGGCACCCAGTATGTTTATTGGGTGAGGGGTCTGTGATTATTTGTTAATCTAATGAATAATTGATTTGTTAAATCTAATGAACAAATGTGTGTCTGATTGGTCCAAATGCTACAAAATATGGATATTTTTCTTACACAAACGCTTCTTCAGAAGGCCTTTATTAACCCCCCGGAGCCGTGTGGAATTCTTTTATAATGAATGGGTGCAATTTTCTGGACTTCAAATTTTGGGCTACCATCCACTCCCATTATGAAGTATGGATTAGCCTGGACATAATTTATATAACTCCGATTGTATCCGTCTGAAAGAAGAATGTCATATACACCTAGGATTTGCTTGAGGGTGAGTAAATCATGGGGTAATTTTCATTTCTGGGTGAACTATCCCTTTAACTAAAGCCATCACAAAATACTCTGTCAGAAAAAAAAAGTGCAAAATGGTATCTTTGCCCATTGATAGGCTGTTGTACCTCTTAAAGGCACACAATTTGCAAACATTTTTTCTGACAGTATGCCATGGTTATCAAACTAATGCCAATACCACTGCTGTAGGACATTCTGTTTTACTATACCCTTGCTGCCTTGCATGTTTGTGATGATAGACCTATTACGCAATGTTGCATAGTTAACTCAGTCAAGCACATGGTAAACTACTATTTAAAGGAAGAGCTGAACTGGATCAGAGTTGCCTCAATCCAAAACTATTTCCCAGTGGTTTCTAAGGTGCAAATGGTTGGGGTCTTCTTAAGCTTACAATGCTTTTTGGGAAACGGTAACGCAGTCCTAAAACAAAAAGAGAGAGAAAGAGGCTTCTTCTAAATATCTGAGAAGAATCACTGACATTACAGGCACAGCCGACTCAAATGAAAATTCTGTCATCATTTACTCACCTTGATGTATGACTTTCTTCAGCAGAACACAAAATATTTTAAAGAATGCTGTGGCCAAACAACATTGGACCCCATTGACTTTCATTCAACTTTCAAACTTTCATTGACTTTCAAAAAAAATAAAAAAAATAAATACAATTTCAAAATATCTCTTTTTGTGTTCCACAGGAGAAAAAATTATACAGGTTTGGAATGACACGGGTAAGTAAATTATGAAAGAATTTTCCAGATTTTTACCTTTAAGCAGTCTGTTTGAAGGCAGAGGGAACAGAACCTCATTCAAAA